CCCACTCACAGCAAGTCGTACAAACAATTTTATAATTGGTTTCACCCACACTAATAAAGAATTAATGTGATGTATGACTCTTGTTAAGCACTAACTTTCATATACCTCACTTTAGAGTTGCTCCGTTTCTAGTGTCGGATAAAATAAAAATATCATCATTGTCAGAACTATAGTAGTCTGCCATTTTATTTCTTAATTCTAAACATTCATCAAACAAAAGCATGAGATAGTCCCATTCCCTCTTTCGTTTAACCATATATACTACCTTCCATTTCTAGCTTTCCTCGTAAGATATCCATGTAATCGACAAAAAAAAAAAAAAAAAAAAAAACGTAATTTAACTTGTAAAAAGTAAACGGAAGGGAAATATAAAAAAAAAAAAGGAAAGAAAAAATAAATGAAGAAATTAAACAATAATTGCCGTGCGGCATTATGGGAGATTTATTGTACAAATGATGAGGTGACAAAAATCAAAACAATGTGGTTGTCAAATTCTACTTCCGTTTTCATTTTCGCTTAAAAGAATAAAAATCACACCAAATATGAGCAGAGTTAAAATGATATATTTTTATAAATACTATAGTTTTAATTCATGTTTGAACTTTAGTTATACTATTACAATTGGTATTTTGTGTTTCAAAAAACATGAAAAAATATATATTAAAATAGTGATAAAATTAAATATAATTAACTAATTATTTTAATTAAAGTGAAGTTATTTTTTTATATATAAATTAGAATGAAGTAGTATTATTAAATATATCTATACATAATGGCCGAAAGAGAATTTCCCAAAAAAATGACTAATAGATGATATTTAGATAAAAATATTATTTTCTTTTCACCTTGACATAAATCTAAAATACATAAAATACATCTAAAATACGATCTAATCAAAGGAAAGAAGAATCAATGAAAAGTAAATTTTTTTGTTTTTTAACAGTTTAGGGGATGGAAGTCGATTTGCCTTATCCATCGATATGCAATCTGCGTATGATTGACTGTTTCCAAACTTTGTTCAGCTATTGAAGTAGGGAGCCACCGGAATAAATTTTTGCAAATTCCTGCATAAAGATCTCAATGTTCCGATCGTTCCTCTCGTTTGCAAACATTATACCGTTGAGTCACGATGCTTTAAGTTCAAACAGTTTAGAGATAAACTACATAATGTCAAGAAAAGCTTGAATTCTCATAATTCACTTTCAAGTGCAGCATCCCCATTAACCATTTTTTTATTATTTAAACTCAAGAAATCATATCTTGAAACTATTATTGTCTTCTACTTTGAAACAATAACACATTATTGACAAGACATCATTAAACACATGAACAATCAAGTCAGCCAAAAGTTTATGAAAAAAGTATGAATAGAACATGGGAACCCATAGCTAATTATAAATCATCTGAATCCCCACGGGCAATATTTGACCAATGCAACTCCATTACACTAACAATGCAGAACATATAAAAGTAATGTATGGGACTTATTTACTGCCCTCAGATAACACCAATTTGTACTACTTTTTCATAAAAGCCTTTCGACATCCATCATAGCACATTAACCCACAACCTCCATCTCTACCCACTGCCAGCAATAATAATAATAATAATAATAATAATAATAACAACAACGGCAGCAGCAAAGGGAGTGAAGAGAAAGAAGAATAGAAGCGGCAGCAGTATGTATTGGTGATGGCAGTAAGAAGAAAGGCAGAAGAGATGGAAAGGCTTTGTACAATATTCAAAGTACGATAATTCACAATGAGCATTCGTCATTGGGCATACCAGGAAGAAATATAAATATGACACTCAATTGCATACAACTTCAATAATATCGAGATGTTTTTAACATTAAGAAAGAAAAAAGATAAATTTGCTAACGAAAATAATATAATGGATAACAAACATTTTCAACTATACAAGTGGCAAGACAAAATCATAATTAAAATGACACTCAATAAGTTGAATGAGAAATAAAAATGGATACTGTTTACGACCAGTGCTTACAATAGAAAGTGAGAAGACGAGGATTTTGTGAGATACTTCATAAACATAGCATTGGTTTAGATCATAATCTAGTGAAGCTAAAAGGCTAATCATGAAGAAGAACAGAAGAAGACTTGGGACTATTCTTATAACCACAAAAATCAACGATGATTACATGTTTACTGAATTAATAAGTGGTTGAAGACAGGAATACCTGAAATAGAAAGCCTTCTATATTTTTCGATGATAGATATATCCACCTTTCATAGTAATTTTAATTTTCCATTGTTTTTTAATATAATTTAAATCCCATGCCAATATTTCTATTTACAAAGATATAGATAGTTGTTAACATCTAAAGTATATAAAATACAATTTCATACCAATGTTAATAGCAAAAACTACGTTACATTTCGCATTTTCATGCGCTTTTTCTTGATTAATAAAAAACTTGTCACATTTCATCATGTTCAGATGAGCTTTCTAAATAAAAGTTTCAAGCACATTTATAATTCGGGCCATCAGTTTGTTCAGGTTAAAACAATATATGAATAATATCACTCATGCATATGGAACACAGTTAAAAAAATATGCAATGTTATAAGAAAGATTAGTTGGTTGGTATTTACATGCACTTGGAAAATACTTTAATGTTGGTTCCAAACTTCAACTGTAATTCCTTCCAGGTGAAAACATGTTATGTTAGCAAATAAGCGGTTGACCAACCAGTTTCGCAATAAAAGATAGTAAGATGAACAAGGACAGAGAATCTGACTAGAATATTAAAGGTAAGCAAGTATGCATGAAAAAGACAAAGCAAAAGAACTGCGGAGTGAAAGCTGGGTGTGTGTGTTTGTCTAAGAAGGAAATGAAAGAATGAGAACAGATTCATTACCATAGGTCTTGTTAAACTATCAGCAAGGTAAAAGTTGTTCGAGAAGTATAATTTTGCTGATAACCATTTAAAAGATGTAACGTCTTTTGTCTGAAAACTATGGCCATCAAAACATAATTGATATACATTTCCACTTTTTTTATCTTGCCAAAAAACCATTGTTGAGAAAAACATAAGTAGGCACTTGAGACATTGGAACAATTCAGTTTATGACAGCAGGAATATAGTCTTATTATCATGTTTAGCTGAAGTAGAAAGTAGTCCATAGCCTTCATAGGACAATTAAATCTTATGACATTTGCAACAGGCTTCATTCACATCCAACACGCACCAACTATAGAGACATAAGTAAATGGATAGATAGAAGGATAGATCCTGAGAGATGGGTAATGACGCATGACCGGTTATAAACAAAACACACCAATCAATCACTAAATAATTTGTTCATCATTGGGCAAGATGGAGAAAGATATCATTACAATGGATGCATACATGAAGACAAAACAATGACATGTGACAATTAAGTGTTTAAAACAATCATTCAATCAATCTGTCAGGTATAACTTCTAGAATTATAATATGAACAAGCAAGTAAACAATTTGATGCACAACATGCTAATAGCAATATCACTTTAGATCAATAATAATAATGGCAAGTAATTTAAGCATATAGACGGAATGAAGACTCTGCAAACAGAGTAAGGTAGGAAAAATAAACTAGTAGTCAGCTTTAAATGTAATAGATTAAAATTTTCTGACATACTGACAGTTTATATGAAGGCAGTTGTGAGCAGAACTGAATGAAAATTGAAACAATATCACATCTTATATCTCCTTAACCCTTTCCCCTGATTATTTTAAAAAAATAAATACGCAGGTAACTTAGAACATACAGCATACACTGATTTCAGATTTTAATAAAAGAATGTTAGCATATTTAAGAATGCATGTAAAATCCCAGCCAAAAAATTATTGTTTTGAAATAGGAAAAGCACAACTCTCATATATCAGCTAAACATCCGAAACACTATATAGTCCAAAACAATTCAATCGAACACTGTACTTGTAATATATCTAAAGTTAATTTTCATTGCCCGGTTAAGTACAGCAAGAATTTACAATTCAAAAATTAGTTTGGCTATTTCATAATTTCATGAATCGTCTACAAACACAAGAGAGAAGGAAAATATCATATCCAGTCATGAACACATGAACAAAACTAAACAAATAAAAGTTCATAAGTCAATTTGGTATCACTGGGCAGAGTGAAGGATTACTTCATTACAAAAATTGCATAAACAAATCTCCTTGACACTTCTCCCCTGATTATTTCACATGCATAAAACCACAAGGTTTTCAGATTTCAATAAAAAGTGTAAGCACGTTAACATGGCTAACAAGAACAATTGAAAAATTGCTGCAAAAAAAATAGAGAACCACTTGTGTTGCCAAATGCATAACCCTCAGATCTCATAGCTAAATACAAATCATATAATAAGCTTTATCACAGGCTTCGTTCACAGCCTTCTTGCACCATCTCATGTTAATTTATGTATATATATATATATAGATAGAGAGATAGAAAGATAGACGCACGCACACATACACCGAGAGAGAGAGAGAGAGAGAGAGAGAGAGAGAGAGAAAGAGAATGGTGCAGATCCAGTTATGAACAAAACCATGTAGCCGTTCAGTATATTCTTTTTCCATCATGGGGCCGCATAGAAGGCAACATGCCACATCTAATTAAATCAATTCAAACAGTAAGCATGTGTTTTCAGCCCAGATAACCCTAGACCAAAATTTTGGTCAATCTGCTTCGAACAAAACCCTTTCACAATTTACTAACAGGTTTTAAGTGGCATTTAGCTATTACGGTTTCCCTATAAGGGATTGAGAAACGAAAGAAGAAAAGATGTGTAAAACATCAAACAATAAAGAAGACGGCGAAGGCAAAATCTAATATGATGATATCCAAAGCACAGTGCTACTCAATCACTCAATCATCAGGCACATGCAAACAGAGTGAAAAAATAAAATAAAATCGGTGAAGTGAGGTAAAAGCGTGAAAATGCCCTCAAATCTCATAGCTTAAGAACAAACATGCAGTTTAAAGACAATGGGCTTCATCAAAAGCCTTCACAAACCACCACAGACACCTGCACATATATCTTTGTGCATTAGGAATAATTGTGGTGGAGGTGGCGGTGTCGACGGCGGTGTGAGGTAAAAGCCAATGAAAAAAAAAAAAAAAAAACAAAGTTGAAAAACTGCTCAATACATTTTGATATGTGCACCATCGTGCATCAATCCCATTTCAAAGCCAAAATATTATATCGCACAAAACACAAAATTTCGTTGAGAAAGGCAAAGGGCGTGACTGAAAAGTGAAAAACGAAACAGCGGAGGAGGGTGAAGAAGAAAGAACAACAAAGAAAACGCAGTGGGTTTATTTCTGTCGGAGGAACTAATTCTTCCTTCGACCGCGTCAGCTTTGTATATTCGGGCCGCTTTTCTATTTGGACTGGTGGGTGTTTATGGACTTCGTAAGGACCATTCCAAGTTCCTATTTAAACCCCCTACAAAGTTCAAAAATATTTTCTACTTGTTTTTCCGTTGATTAAAATGAATTCAATTTAAAAAAAAAAACTGTTGATTTTTAACTAGGTAAAAACTTATTTCTCTATGTTTATTTGATTTAATTGAATTTATTTTCCGCCGTGTTTATATTTTTCAATTTAACACAGTGAACCCTCATTTCTATCAAATATAAAAAATAAAAATAAAAAGTTGAAAGGTTGAATAACGAACAGAGTTGCTTATAACAATGTCCTTTTTTCACAAGGAGTTTTACAAGAATAAATATAGCAAAACCAAAGAAAAAAGTAAGAGTAAATTGGGATGTACGTACCAAACATTGACTAAAACAATTGAAAACTGTGATGAAAAGTCAATCTCTGATTTAGGAATAAAATCACAACTGTAGGTATCATTTTATCTTAAAAACGAGTCAATCATGAAAGATGTAGCCACTAGTCGAGAAGAGAGGAAAAAAAATGAAAGGTTGTGAAGGATGATGAGTTATAATACTTTTGTGAATTTTGGTGCTTCCTAATAATAGTGGAAGGAAAAAGTGTAAAGTGAGTGACAATATTTGCAACGCACTACTGAGGAAGACCGACCTGACCACTGTGTGAGTCCAAATCCAACGAAAATCAGGATTTATGTGTGTGGAGTAGCATGTTTACATATAAAATCTGGCTCTCAAGTTAGTGCTCCACCTACCAAGACCATAACACAAAAGAAATTTTACTTGCTACATGCGCATGACATTCTTTTGGGACCACAGATTACTCGAGAATCCACTCATATATGGTCTACAACATTCTCCGTTATCCTTCAATTCGATAGTTGCCTTCCAAACAAGTTTTGGTTCATGACATGTTAATGATTCCATCCATCTTATAATACACTCACCTCACATATATATAACGTATAATAAGCAGCAAAGTTCATCATTAAACTTTCATTACACATAAAGTCTCCAAAACTTGTATATGTCATGATTGAGCTACGAAGATATTTCATATTTTTAATCTGTATTTTGGTCAACAAAAGTAACAGACTTTGTAGGTTGGTAAAGAAAAGAAGAATAGGAAAGAAAATATCAACCGTTCAAACTTTATCCGCCACGTGTTTGGTCAATATTCACGGATAGGGAAACTCGTGGAAAATGTTCAATGTTCATAAACACGTTCCCATAAATAGAGTATGATCAGAAAGAAGAAAGAGATAAAAAATAAAAATAAAATAATAATAATTCCTTCAATATATATATATTAATTATTATCTAAGAACCACCATTTTACAGGTGAAGTATACGTAAAATTCAATAAATAATCAAACCCATCATTTGTCCACCTTCCTGTTGAACTGATTGTTATTAAGTGAATTTATTTCGTGAAAGTTTCCTTAACTCCGTGGACATCATAACCTAACTTTTTAGGTTAACTTTCCCCTTTTCTTTTAGATAAATTTTAAATATTTGCATTTAATTGATTGTCATATTTTAAGACCCACCGAGCCGAAGGGGGTTTCTTGCGAGTACATGACAGCTTTATACACTCTGCTCTCAACCCCATAAAACCACGTGGCCGTGCACTATACATTTATATACAGGTACCTTTCAACCCCTTTGAACCAACCAGAGCAAGAGATGGAAGAGGGAGAAATGGAGATGCAACAAACGTTGATAAGGATGCATCTTCGAGTTGCTATCGTGGATGCACATCAACCTTCATGGCCTTCTGCATTCGCTTCATCAAGTCCATGACACATCATATACCACAAGCTATTAGAATTAGTTAGGGGTGATATGCAACCAGTGCTCACTTCTCGTAAGTCTGTCAAGGGGTTCAACAGATTTTGGGTATGCTCTCATCTTGTCTATTTGATTAATCGTAGAATAACACTTTCTACACTTTGTAATTAGAGTTTTATCTCTTTAACCAGGTCACACACTCTGATCTTTCTAATGCTCAACTCAACACAAAATTTTCCGATCCTGCACTCTTGTGCATATCTACCATGTTCTTCCTATATGTATCACAGGCTGTAGTTGCTGAATAAAATAGTTTCTGTTAAATAATTTGTAAAAGAAGAAGAAAACAGATATTTTTCCATGACAGAGGAGTAGGGGTTTGTTGGTAGATCAGTTTTGTTACATGGAAGATGTTTCTTTCGTAACTAATATGTAAAAATGGGTTAGTTGGGATAGATAATAATGTTCCACAGTACAATATTTTTAACAAAAAAAGGGACTAATCCAATTGTGTCTACATATATGTAAGATGCATGTGGGATTTTATATATGTTTGTCTTTAGTGTTTGGACTGTATGGTTTGGATGGAGCTCTTGATATATCATTATATCTAAGCAGCATGCTGGCAAAAACTAGACAACTTTTAGGAAACGTGGCCATTAATTGATTCAATGGAGTACTTATGATTCACAGAAACTATTTGCAAAATGTTGCACCAATCTTTGACGTACTCACACAATAGCCATCAAATAACTTGAAAAATATTTATAGCGCGACAACTTTCATTTGGATATGGTAGGATAAGACCGGATAGGTAGGTTAGGATGGGGGTCACTATATACCACTTCAGTTAATTGATGGATACGTAAAGTTACCAGGATAACTTAAAAATAGAATACACATTTTCTTAAATTGTTAAGTTAATTAAGTGAATTATTAAGATTTACTGATTCATTATAATCAAACTAGAATACATAAAATATTAGAGAAACATGATACTATAAGTTTATTTGTTTTAAACAACCAAACAAAATTTTATTTGCTTTTAATATTTTAAGTACTCACAAATTTTTTTATGTACTTTTAATATTACTAGACTTTAATATTTAAAGTACACACAAAAATAACAACTGTGACAAAAATTTGAAATTTAGATCGTCTTTCACCTTTTTCACAGATGTTTTCCGTTACCATTTCAATGTGACATAAACTCGTTGCTATATATTCACTCATTTGATGTTTAAAAAAACACATAAAAAATCTAAAGATAATTTTAACAAGAATTACTTAAAAATAAAATATTTTATTATAGGTAGTTGTTTAAAATTTGGTGAGAATTTTTATAAAAGTAATTTTCTTTTAATTTTAAGCATTTTTTATTTTAAATATTTATTTTTATTTTTAAATATCTCTTTATTTTTAAACAATGGTTAATCACTCTCGTGCCAATGTTCTCAAGTTGAAAAATTCAATTACATCAGGTTCGGTTCCTTACATTATTAGGTTTAATCGCATCCACAGTTTAGTTTGGATCATATGTGGTTTTGGTTCATATTGTTTTTCAGTCAATTAAATTTTCTATTTTGTATTTCCAAATCGGTCATAAAATCTTTAATATTTGGATGAAAATAATACTTTGACATCGGATATAATATTTAATAAATATTATAAGAGTCGCGATCTAATTTACAGCAAATGAGATAAGATCATTTTTAATTAAATAAAACCATTCCTGCGCGTTTGCATCTTTTCCGTTCTCATCAGATTCTTATGACTTACTCTCAATTTCATGACCATTTTAATAGAATATATACAACTAATGGAACGAACTATTTTTTTTGTTTGGATTAATCCTTGCAAAGCAATGTCTTCATTCCTTATACACGAAGAACTTGTACCTTCATTTGTTCTTCATTTCAATAACAATCCACCACCTCTAAAATGAGCAGATCTCGATTAAAAAGACAACAATTTAAAAGTAAAATAAAACTACAAATTCTATAGTCACAATACTCGTTTAATTTTCATAAATGCCTGCCTCCACTTTAATATTGATTTACCTCTGGGCAACCTCTTGGGCTTTACAATGTTCAAAAATCGCACCACTTTTTTTTTAAGCACTATGATAACTGTCACACTTTTATGACTATTTTATTGGTCATAATAAGTAAAGCCCACCTGTTAAAGTTAGCAAAGATTTATGAAATCACTTTAAATATTTAATGTTAAATTTTCAATATACAGCATACCTTAATCTAGTGCCATTTACGGAATTTGGCATGGTGAATTAGTAGCTGTCCAAGTCTTTCAAATTGCATTTAAGATTCTTTGCATTGGAGCAAGCAAACAGAAATTGAATGCTACTACATTTTCATTACATCTTTATACAAAGTTTGACAAAGATAGTTCAAACTATAAAGCATACTAAATTGCCTGTCATAAAGAAAAGGGCAATGGCAAGAAAAAAAAGGAAAAATGTTCAAAAGAAAAAGGGCAATAGCAAAAGAAAAAAGGTACATTGGTAGAAATTGTTCCAAACTTTACAGTTTAACCGTGAAGAGAACAAATGACTTAATGAAGCTTCAACATTCCTACAAATATCTAAAACGGAGAATAAATCCTATTTTTCTTACCACACATATCTCTTGTAACTATTCACAAGCCAATTTTGTGTCGAAGCTAGTCAAGCACATGGCAAAAGCCTGAAATGCAGAGAGGGGGTACCGGTAGTCCATAGTAAACATATCCTTGCCAACCTTGCCAAACTGAAGAATAATCTTGTCATGGTCAGAAGAAGACTGTGTTGGCTGGGATGGTGTAGGTCCTGCTCCTACAGGAGCAGTAGCTGTTGGTGGTGTTGCGGCGATCAGCTGAAAATTCTTTACAGAGGCAACAGTGACTCTTCCTCTAAAGTTGAGGCACCAACATTGCAGCTGTTCATGCCACCTTGGGGACTTGTTTTTGAGAACTAATGGTCTCACCTTTCCCTCCTCGTCCTCATTGCCGGTTCCGGTTATGTCTGAGAACCTAGAGCTGCTAAACTCAGTTGAATTGTAAATTGATTTTGAGAAGGATACACTCCGGAAAGAATCCTCAAGGGGACGGGCAAGGAGCTCTGGCTGGCCTGGGACAACGCCATTAGGCTCGAGGGATGATGCAGGAATTGAGTACATCGTGCAATTCATCCTTCGCGGCCCCCTGGTACCAAGGACATTCAACTCATAGGTGACCTGGGCAATGTTGTAGCTGCCGCTAGGGACCTTTGGAGAAACCTTTTTTGAAAACCTACGGCTACGGCCAGGTGGGGACAGCATAGCATTGTTGTAAGGTGGTTGTGTATCATAAATTATAAACTTGGTGCCAAGAAAATTTGACCTGGGACAAAGAAAAATTAATACAGTAGTTCATAATGACATTAAAGTAAAGAAACAATTGATTTTAGCACTTTCTTCGATAATGGTAAAATAAAAAACGAGATTATGCATAACCTTAGTTCTTATACAAGTCACTAAAATCCAGAAAATTGTCATGTACATTACTGTTAATGCAAAAATGAATGTCAAGTGGCCCCAAAATTAAGTCTTACCTCAGTTTTCCAATGTATGTACTACTAGATCTCGATATGTTCTCCGCATCCATTGATATAATATATTCCGTGCAAGTAGTTCTTCTGGTCCTTTTTGCAGAGAGAAGAAACTTTCCATTTTCAACAAGCAAGGCTGCAGAAACACAGTTATCATCCACAACAGGTCCCAAAATCAATGATAGGCAGGAACATAAAATTGCAAAATGCTTATTTATACAAGCATATTGTAACAGCGATACATTAGTCAGTTCAAAATAAGAAACTACCCTTGTGCCAGCATAGAAAACATTTGAACCAATAAACCACTTAGGATAGGCAAGGCATGGACTATTTTCTCGTGATTAAAGTGAACCTAAGCATAGACATGCATTACATACCATTATAACATCAGCAATGCTAACACGCCAAAACAAACACCAAGTCAAAATGATGTCCAGAACAACGTTGAATTATTTGAATGGGTTAATATGACCAGAATAAGCTACAAGTGACATCAGCACCCAACCCTCAGGTAACTTAGTGAATAGTAGTAATTACTTTCATAAACTTCAACGAAATAAGACAAGAATCTTATGAGTGGACCACGGCAAAGAACTTCACCATCATATTTGAACACTACGAGGTATCTAAATTGCATAAACAACAGGTTAATTACGATAAAAAATGAATTCAGGCAAAGAAATTCTCATGTCACTAGGAAGCTGTAACTAAGATATAGTTTCAGGTAGCAACGCTTGTATTTAAAAAAAACCACCTCATTCCATCATTTTTCACCAATTCAAACATAGAAATGAACATCATAAGCAAAATAGCACAATAAAAAAAATCAAAGAAACACCAATAAATTCTACATTGAAAGGTGACCTCGGCTCAGACTGAGAAGGGATAAACCCAATAAATATATCAAATGCCGTAAGTTCAAAAATTACACAGTAAAAGCCAATCAAAGAAAAAACAGAACAAGATGATTAGATAAATTCATATGCTAAGGTGTCAATAAAGGAAAGTTTACCAGGACTAAGGCAAAGGAAGAGATGGTATGTCAACTTAGATTTGTCTCTCTTAATGAAACACTGGATGGTTCCATCCCTATGGCCAGGCTGCAGGCAAGAATCAACGAATCATAAAAATGTAAACTTTGGGCATGGTACAAATTTCATATCCTTTTATACATGAGGCAAATATTTTAAACATATTTTAGGCAATGGATAGAAGATAAAAAAAAAAAAAAACTCATACCTGCTTCAGAGCAACAGGGAAAGTAATCTTCCCACAGAATTCAGGACTGCTGACAATTTCTTTGCACATTTCTCTCCAGGACTTGCACACGGCAGCACAAGCAACCACATACTTACGACCAGGCCATGTACTCTCGCTTGCTTCCAATCTATTAATAACATCTCGAAGGAGCTCAGGCGGAAGGCTAGCCCACCGGCTGTTCTGTATGACCGCTGGCTGGTCCTGCAACTCGTGGACTGAACTGCGTGACTTGCCCCTGTTATGGCCAGGAAGCCTTACCTCAAAACTTCTCCTGGATAGACTTCCAAATCCATCCCTTACATCACGAACTATGCTGCGGAAGGACATCTGTTCTAATATAATCACAGCCCAGAACTTGATATATCATCAAAGAGCCACTGAAAGAATAAATGTTCCACTCTAGTCACTAAGAGGATGTCACAACTGAAACCTTAGAAGAGTGAGGAGCTGCAAATAAACCAAACTTTATTTTAAATTCCATCCTCAATGCTTAGTGATCAAGAAATAAAAGAGAAGGAAGACAGATAGGGTAAAGCACAAAGCGGAATGAATAAAAATAAAACCAAAGATTCTCACAAAAGAAAGCCCCACATGGACTTAAAGGCTAAAATTCCATACTTTAGTCAGAAACATGTCTTTGGAGGGTTCTAAACCTGATTTTGTTTCTCCTCAGTCTAACTCAACATAGGAGGAATTAAACCAAAATAAAAGGCTTACTGAAGTTCTATTTATTAACTTCAACCATATGCTACTGTAGAAGGGAATCTAATTTCCATATTTCGGTTCCGGAAGTTACTAGGTCACGAATCGTCCAATAAGATACTCCCTCACACGCACAGGAGCAGAGACAATCAAGCACACAAAAAATAAGGGGTCCTCCCTCTAAAACGCTGAGATAAAATAACATGACCAGATCTTTAAAGAGCAGAAAAATAGATCAGAGCTCTAGACCACAACTTTCTTGTTAACCAAATAACAACAACCCAGAAGAGTTCTAGAGCCAAAACACAATTTTTATTTTTATTTTTTGCAAATTCCTAAAATTACACAGCAAGAAACACCGTTAGTTACAACCCACACATAAATTTCACAAAACCAGGAGTCCCACACTAAAAAACAGAAACTTCGAAAGGCAAACAAGAAACCCAGAAGAAAAAAGGATCCATAGTTACGAACCATACCCTAAACACACCTAGGTCTCGAAGTTACCCACACCCCAATCTCGGCGAAGGAAAAAATAAAAAGCAAATAACATAAAATAAATGGAGAAAGATTAAAAAGATAAAGAGATTGAATAGAACAAAGGTGCGTTCATACACATAAAACCGCACAAAGCGCATCACAAAAGATTAGATGAAGATGCAGCTGACTAACCATGATGTTCCAAAGTCTTGTCAGATTACACGTTTTTAGATCCTGTGTGCTTCACAAATCACAACTCTCTTTCTCTCTCTAACTTTTTTTTCTCTCTCTCTCCAAGACAAAGGCTGACTCTGGATGAGACACGGACTCATGCCTCCATTAAATCCACCCCCACAAACACGTAATAGTAAGAAAAAGAACTGAATAAAACTTTTACATTCTGTTATAGGTAATGTGGTTTTCTCCAGTTATATCTGAAATTTCATTTTATTAAATATATCACATTTTATATGAAACTCTATAATTGAAAAAAAGAAAAACTTATAAGTTCATATGGTAGTTTAAGTAAGTTATTTTTCACATGAAAACTGCTTAATTATTTATTACCTTGATTACTTTTCATCATTATCTTAAATTCCCAATCAAACAATAAATACTTGTAGAAATTCTACTTCTGTTTTAAATGCAATAGACTTCCCAATACAATAACAATATAATAATAATTATTATTATTATGAATATCAAAGTTAAAGTTGGTTATTAATTATAAAATTACCAAAATTACTGAAGTTCTGATCTTGGTCGTATAGTATAATGATTTTATTTATTTTTTAAGTTGGGTTAAATTACTGTTTTGACCTTGACAGTTGACCTTTAAAATTACTAGAAAAGGTTACACCGGCTAACGATATGTGGTGGGGGTGGGGATGGTGTGCTCGCAACAATTCACGCTTTGCCTGGGAGAGGGTCGGATACCATGCGCAGTGGTGTAAACAAATTTATGGTGTTGCAACATATATTATTTATGGCGCGGACAATTTTTCCAATCTCCTTTTTTAATATACTTTTCTTTGAAATTAACGTGTTTTTCTTCAATCAGATTTCAAATAAATACAAAAATTTAATTAACATTCATAATTTTCTAAAGTTATGTATTTTATTAATATTATTAATTTAACTCTTATTTTTAGTATCATTTATTAGAAGAAGAAGAAGAAAAAAAATGTAAACAGAAAATAATGATAAATTTGTTGGACTATTAAAATGTAGGATAAAAAATAATTATTATAAAAATTATTGAAAAGAATGAAAATAAATATATTTTTGTATTATTATGTCATATATTTTAAGAGAAATTTTAAAACTAAAATTATATTTTTCTTCTGACCTTAGTCATTTGTAATTATATAATATTTTAACTTTTATTTACTTAATTTAAAATAATATCATTCTTGCCAAACAAATAAATATTTTTTTTGTTATATTGAATCTTTTTATTCTTTTCTTTATTTTACTCAATTTTTCTTTTTTTATAATCAAACATAACTATAAAAGATCATAGATCATTATATTGCAATAAAATAAATAATAACGATAAAAATTCCATTTATTTATGTTTATATATATATATATATATAAAGAATAAAAAATATAATATTTACTCTTTGTTTTTATTGTTTTTTTTATAATATAATTATTTGAAATAATATTTTATTTTATCATTATAACATCTATATATATATATATATATATATATATATATATATATATATATATATATAAAATAGTGTAAAAAGAATAAAGTTGACTTACTGGAGTTTGTTTAGCACAAGTTTAAATTAAAAAATAGATAAGTTTAAGCTATTAACTATATAATAAGTTGGAATTTTTTTTAATTGGGTTAGACCATTAGAAATTAAGGCGAGATGACTGTTCAATATAAAAAAAATATTAATTAAGTAATAATAATAACAACAATAATATGGAATATTAAATTAAGTTAATTTTAACTAATAGTTTTTACACTTGAAATAAATCCACTATCAATCTATTTGAAACCTACAAGGGATATATGATCGATCCAATGTACTTAGTTCGTCACTATCTTACACAAGGACTAAAAAGGCAATTCGAGTTCATATAACACTTTTGCTTTTTAAGAATTTTTTTTTTAATTTAGTTAGACAGACTTTTGTGTATGTCTTCGAGAATTTCATAATATAAAACATCTTCTTCGTTATATATATATATAATATAATATACTGACATTATGAATAGAAGTTAAATTATGAGATGTAGTAAATTGAAGGTATATTCAATGACAATAGCATATGCTCCTTGATATTTCAACTGATTTTTTGCTCCTACTATCTTTTACTTTCCCTGTTGGTTGAAGATCCCCTTTCATTTCCATTCAACAAAATAGAACATTGAATATACAGTTGTTTCTTTTGTTTAAAAACAAAATGATGGCACTTATTGTGGTTTCACAAATGCAAAATTTTCTCTCTTGCTGAGCTTTGAGCTCGACTTTACTGAGTCCACCATGTGCTTCTGTCATAAAATATAATGTCCGATTATGTGATCCACAGTCTAGTAATTAAAGTTATGGTAGTTTGTATCGAGAAAAAAGAAAAGGAAGAAAATTTCAACTTGTATAGCGATGCTATGATCGATCTGGCCATCCAATTTTCGAAGAAAGTCAAATGCACAGGTCTCAATCGTACACACAAATTAATCCTTTCACACTGCAAGAATTGGACTTTAACAAAACAGAGTCAACTTGTGGTGATTCAAACCAAAAACAACACAAAAACAAAAAATGCGATCGTGACTTTGGAATTGACTTTTTGTTATATTTGTATACAAAATTGGATGATATATATTAGTTATGCATTTGCCATTTGTGCAAAATTATGCAAATGGAACAATAGCATAAAAAAAAAATAGATATGGATAAGCATGAATCAAATTACTTCTACACACTAAAAAGAAAGATGTTTCGAATTTGTTTACTTCTGCTCTCACCAGACAATTTTTCATGGGGCTTTAGTCAATGGATTGGCCCATTGCTTCCTCATATTAAACTAACGTTTAAACCATGTCTTAAAACTCATATTTAATATTTACGTAATTATTTTATAATTTAATACGTTTGCGTTAAAATATATGAAATCTAATTCACTAGATGAATGTATATAATACTACAAGCAAGGAAATCTGAGTATACTATACTTGTATATACCCCAAATTATACGTCAATGTAAATAATAGGTTCATGATTCATATTGGATGTTAATTTAATTAGAGAATGGAGGCTTTTTATGAGTTTAAGGGAAAGCTTTTGAATGCTATACGGTTGATTTATTTATAAATAATTTTCGAAATCACCTTTGGCCAATGAATTGCAATCAAATTAACCCAGATTAATAAAATAATCCAATAATTAATTTCAACAAGGTTATGAATTCACAACTACACGCAAATATATGCTATAACACAGTATATTTCTCTAATGGAATCAAAATTGGTCATCTTATTGAGATGATCACAAAGGTTTGCTAAAAAAAATAATTCAGATTTTATATTAACATGCGAACATTGTATAGTTGCTTAGATAAGTTTATTTACGTGTATTTATAAGAAAATAAATAAGAAACTAAATGGATAAGGTTCTTCGATAAACTAAAATCAATTTATTCATCTAGAATTTTAAAAAAAAATAAAAAGAAAGAGTTTTTATAAAAGTTTGTGGGAAATTTTCAATTTATTTGATCTTTTTATTTCTTCCCATATAAATGCTTATTACAAATTTATCTAGTATTAGGATACTAATTATAATTTGAAGCCTTTTTGTTTAAAGACTAAAACATCCTTTATGAAGAATTAAACCACTACAAACGCGATTTGATGCATACAAGTTAGTTGTCTTGTAAATTGTCTACATGAAAACAATTAATGTAAAAAATAAAAATTTTGCCTTTACTTTCAGGATCCGAAACCACAAAGCCACGTAATGGCCCATTATGAGGCCCATTCAGTAAAACAAAATAAAACTGAAAAGGGTTCTTAGAGATTCGGCGACCAAGCCCAATTCTCAAGTTCCAAGTACAACCCTATACATAGTTTATCCAGAGGTTGGAAAAAAGATATACAAAGCCTCAATTATTGCATGTTATTCATCG